ACTGTATTTGATGTTGGTATAATTTGTGGAGGGGAAGGGAAAAAACAAATTGTTTAAATAGTGATACAGGTGGACCCATTGCAAAAATGAGATATACAAGATGTTATGTCAAAAATTAACTTTACAACTTTGGCACGGGCAGAGGAGGGTTTGGGGGTTGGGGGGAGATAGGAAGGGATGGTAAGGGGAAACAAAGGAGGAGGCAACAATGCTTGATAAGAAATGCACTCATTACCTTGCCCATGTAATTGTAACCCCTCTGTACGGTATTTTCACAATTGAAAAAAAAAAGACTTAGCAATACTCACTACCTTAATATGGAATGCTATGGAAAATAAACAAGTCTGAACATTTGTCTCACATGGTTTTATTGCTGTGTTAAGCCATATTAATTCCTCAGATGACTTTATATCACAGCATAAAACATAATAAAATCATAGAAAACAGTAAGAAAAATATATATATGAGTGATTCTATTGGGACATAGAATAATACTTTAAAAGGTTAGAGAAAGAAGAACATAATGAATAATTTTTTCAAAAAACACTCTCCTTTTATTTCTTGCAGTGCAATACCAGGAATATCAGGTAGGATATGTAACAATGGAAAATGCAACATCTAGAAAACTCATCAGGTTTCTTCCACAGGGATACAGGGATACAGGGTTATGTGAACATGTTCCCCCACTGTTCTTAGTTAGAAACAATATGTAATAGCTTTTTCTGTGACAGTTCAAGTCAAAGGAAATGAAGAGCACAACCTAAGTTGCTACAGTGTTGAGGTCAAGTAATCTTTGTATTGCTGATGAAAAAGTTTAATCTTACTTGACATAATGGTAATCATTTTTGTACTCTTGAGGGGAGGTCTTTTTAACTTAGGTAAATTGATAACACTGAAGGTCACTGGTTCTTCTTGGGAGACAGCACAAGTGTAGAGACATTCTTTGGTGTGTTAATGATTTCCACAGAACACAGAAGGGATTCCTAAAGTGCTCTGCAAACTGTGTGTGAGCCTGCTCCACTTCTGGTATCACATTCTCCACTCTTACCAGAAAGTCTTGACTAAATTCAGACATCCCTAACTGTATCTGGCAGTTGTGTTTCTGTATCAATTAAATCATTTTTTTTTCTATTTAGTGTAGTCTTAACTACTTCGGCATCCACAGGCCCTGAAACAGGAATGTGAAGCCACATTTTTTTAAGAACTTGAAGAAAGTTCAAGGTATCTGTGTTAGTTAAAGCCGTACCTGGAATTTACTAAGCTAATTAATTGAGACCATTCCATAGGAATTTTGTTCTAGCTCATTTATTTAAGTCAGTAGCTAAAATGTTGTACACTTTTTGGCTGCCTGGTGAGAAGATATATTAGATATATATTTATTCACAGATCAGATTCACTGTGGATTCATTAATGGTTTCTCTCATTGTAAAATAGTATTTTCTGCAAACATGGCACATAGCTTATCAATCAACCCAATTACATTTATGAAGTGTCCTTCATGTGTCTATATCTTGTGGCTATGTGGACTTAATACAAATGAAGATACAATAAATATTTAAAAGCCTAAATCAAACAAATAAGCCTTTTAGTTCAACCTTACAAATCAACAGTATATGTAAAGTCCTCATGCATAAAAGAATAGATTCCAGTTCTGAAGGGAAGGATGTAGAAGGATTTGTAATCTATTAAAATCAGACTGAAAGGTGGCAGGTGGAGGTCACTGATTGTAAATTGTGATAGAAACTCTTCTAAAATTGGGAATTCATGATGTGGCACATCAGCATATGGCAAGTACAGAAATGAAAACTATAGTTAATAACACATTTACACACATGCACGCACACACACACACACACATGAGTTTGCACTAATCCTAAGGTCAAAGAGTAATTTTCTTTTAGAGCTGAAGAAATCATCTTCTTTAAGGTTACCAACTTCAATTACACTTTCAACATTTATGCCAGTGAATCCATCAGTACCAATCCAATTTTATCTGTACTAAATTCAGGGAAATTTGAACACATCCATGCTTGAATATCACACAGACAATTATGCAAAACATCAAGTCGCTTCATAGGTCTTCAGGGACTGGAAAGAATATCTGGGTATCGTCTGCATACATATGACACTGCAGGCCACACACTGAATAATGCGATTCACTAAAAATATCTAAACATAAAGCTAAATAGAATTTCAAACAAGCCCTAAGGGAATCAGAAAGTAATTCGGCAAAGCACAAACCATTCCCTAAAGGAAACAATTGTAAGAAGAATATAAGGATGAAGAACTTCTCCAAAGAAACCCATGTTAATTCTAGAAAATTCAAAAAACAGAGTGCTGTCAAAGACACGGTCAGCAGTATTCAAACCAGACATCTAGTCTTAAAAGGTACAAATAAAATAGACAGTTGCCTACAAAATACTCATGGACAATTATGTTTCAGTCAAGTCTTGGGGGTAGCTATGTGTATATTTAACATGAAATAAGAAAATGATATTCCAGCAAAAATTCAAGACTTATTGTTTCCTTTCTAAACATTTAAATATTTAAATACTAAACTACTACCAGCATGACTATGTTTATTGCAGCATTATTTACCATAGCTAAGATATGGAACCAACCCAGATGCCCCTCAGAAGATGAATGGATCAAGAAAATGTGGTATATATACACAATGGAATTCTATGCCTCCATCAGAAAGAATGACAGTGCTCCATTTGTTAGGAAATGGAAAAAAATTCTATTAAGTGAAGTAAGCCAGGCCCAAAGAAACATAGGTCCCATGGTTTTCCTTATTTGCAATAACTGATATATGTCTGAGTCAAGCAGAAAAGGTCAGATAAGTTGATGTTAGGAAAATGAACCCCAAGATAAGTATTCAATTTTTTTTCTTTCATGCAATTGTTTCTATCATATTTATAAGATGATTTCTATGTTGCTTTGTATGTCTATTCCCCACAGTATAACCCATACTTTCACTGTTTTTGATGTTGGTATAATTTGTGGAGGGGAAGGGGGAAAAAACAAATCATTTAACTAGGGATACACGTGGACTCATTGCAACAATGAGATGTACAAGTCGTTATGTCAAAAAACGAACTTAACAACTTTGGTGGGGGGTTGGGGGAGAATCGGGTGGGGGGAGGGGAGGAGTATGGGAAGGGATGAGAAGGGGAAACAAGGAGGAGGCAACAATGCTTGATAAGAAATGTACTCGTTATCTTGCCCATGTAATTGTAACCCCTCTGTACAGTATTTTCACACTAAAAAAATAAATAAATACAATACTAAACTATTGATAATGAAGTTTTCTTAAGAACAGTGCAATTGTTGATTTAAATTAATTCCATTATTTTTTAATTTATTGCTTAAGATCTTTATTTCATGAAGCAATGAGAGGGACCACATACACACACACTTACACACAAACACGCATACACATGCATACACATGTGCACATGAACATGAATATCTATTTTAATAGATCTAATAATCTCAGTGATGAAACTTCAATCATTCTTCATAAAGAATCTAGAAGTCCTTTTATGTTTTTTATTGTAAAAATACTGTATAGTTACATGAGTAAGGTAATGAGCACATTTCCTATGGCACATTGTTACCTCCTCCTTTGTTTTTCCCCTACCATCCCTTCCCTCCCCACAGTATTTCTACATATTCTTATTATCATGATCAAACATTGTATAACTAATCCTCTGAAATTTCTTTCCAATTGTCAAGTGATCCTTATAGTCATCAGCATCATTCATAATTCTAATGCTGAAAATTTGCCAGGTCCAGAAAATGGAGTTAAACTGGCAACAAAGGTTGTATTCAGGATTATCACTACAATTAGTAGGAGCAATTGAACTTAAAACTTCATTGAAACAATAGGCAAGAGGGGTTTTAAGTGCTGGTGAAAGCTAACAGAAAAATACTGGAGGATGTTGAGGGCAGACTCATCTACTTATAAGCCACATGGGTTTGCTAATTGCTACTTATCACTTATCTCTTACAAAAGTTAGCCACCTATCCTGCCAGGAAACTGAGAGCTATCTGTGTTGATGTTTGCTTTTGAAGAGGATGGCTCTCAGTTCCCTGACAAAGAGATTTCTGATATGTAAGATTGGTAAAGAGAGAGAAAAGACTCAGTCTGAAAGCAAAAGGGAGATGCAAAAGGGAGTTAGGCAGAAGGCTGGCTACAGTTTATTTAAGCTGAAAAGATGAATTGTTGGTCATCCATACCCATCTCTTAGAGAGCAGCAACAAGATGCTCAAGAAGTTCCTCTGTAACACTTAGGAAGTACTTTTAACTACCTTTAGGATACTGATTAAGTGGACAGAATTATGTTTTTACAGCATACTATTATATCGTGAGGATTAATAGAATATTGAGCTATGTATGGCTATGGACTCAGTATAATGTACATATACAAATTGCATCTAAGTAGCAATAGAAAATTATGACTGAAAATTTGAATGGACTCAGCATAATAAAACAAAGTCATATTTAACATGATAGCCCAAAATGGATACACCTCCGATTTTTCCTGCAATGTCAGTAAAATAATAAGTTTCTAATAGACATATTTGCACATTTCTCTAAGGCTATGAAACTTCTCTAGTCAATCATCATGTATAAAATATTCAATAATTTTGTGACTCCTCAAACTTTTGAGATTTAGAATGGTGAATGTGGTGTTGCATAGATATATCCGAGTTAACGAAGAGAAACTAATTCTTGACCACAATTAGTTTTAAATGAATATTGCCATACCCAGTGGGCAAAACTAAACCCACCAGATTGATTTTCTTTGCTCTGGATTCTTCTTCGTAATAAAATATTCATATCTATATGCTCTGAGGAGTTTGGCAGAACACACCTCAATTAACATACCTCAATGCTTCTATTTGATGACTACCAGATTAGAAATTTAAACAACCTAATGGAAATCAGTCTTTCATGATAAACAAACTCTGTTGCTGCAGGCAAGCTCACTTACTTTTTAGTTATTTCTCTAGAAGCTGTGGTTTCCTGTGAATTGCCTACCTGTATGCCTAGGCTCTCCCTAGGAGAAGAATCCATGCCCCTTCCTAGAAAACTATTCAGAATTTTAACAGCTTTGTGTAATTTTCCCCTGAAAGAACAAGTCAAACTTGTTGGGAGCTCTTTCTAAAGTCTCTGCAGGTAGTTAATGATTTGGTTAAAAATAATTAAGCCAATTTGTTAATATGAAACTTAAACTCCCACAGATAGAACACTGTGTTCGCAGGATAAAAGAGATTGCCTAGATGGAAGGTTCTCAAGGGAAGCTTGAAGCCAGACCCAGCGTGAGGTGCTTTATTTTCTACTATAAATCTTCACACTTCCGCGAAATTGTTGGAAGCCAGTGCGTCTGTGGGTAGTTTTGCTTATTCTTTCCGCTGTCACTGGTCCCTATTGGGAACCCTCTAGTCGTTCCTAAGCAGATACCCTACAGCTAGCTCACAGCATTGACAGAATGCAGAGTGAGGTAAATACAGTGTGACAGCTGCCTTCAGAAGGGAGAGCCAATGGAGAAACAGAAGACAATAACTGAGATACACTACACGTGTCACTAATAAAGATAGAACAGAGAAAAATGTCCCAGAATGGGGAAAGAAACTATTCATCTATGCTAATTCTATTTGTTCTTCAGAAGGCTATCAATTAAATTGCTTAGCTTTCTTTACTCCTATGACTAAAGGTTAGTAAGTAGTGAGATAGGAGATGTTTGGCATTCAAATAGTAGCTTAGTTAGCAAGTGACCTAATATTTCTTCTTGTTACATCTAACAGCTTGATTCAGCCTCAGTATTGAGAGCCCTGTGTTTAGATATATTTGTATTCACATCTTTTCCACTCTGTGAATATTTATTAGCTGGCTCTTTTTATATCAAGCATACTTCACTATGATACCTCAGTAAAACAGAAACCTCCTTCCTTCTATCCATCCACCTACTCAAAATAAGAAAATAATTCTATTAATGCCACTGTTTAAAAGTTTTGAAATGTAAATTTGGGCAGACATAACTTCAATTTAAAAAAATTGCTTTTAATTTCCAAGTTTTCAATTATACTTTTCCTCATCTCTAGGCAGTTTGCCAAGTGTACATAACAAGCAAGGTCCAATAACAAGCAAGTAATACTTCTCATGTGAGCATGTCACCCAGGGTGATGTTTCTCAGTAGGACAACATCTTCTGTTTGTCTGTTTGTTTGCACTCAAACATGTGTCATACAATTATGTGAATTAGTTATATACAATCAGTACAATTGGCTTGCTCATAGAATTTTGATATCAAACCTAACGTATAGTCTATATAATATATATTCTCACATTATTATTATTATTATTATTTTGGTCAGTGGTGGGGCTTGAACTCTGGGCCTGGGCGCTGTCCCTCAGCTCTTCAGCTCAAGGCAAGTTCTCTACCACTTGAGCTACAGAGCCACTTCCAGTTTTCTGGTGGTTTATTGGAGATAGGAGTCTCACAGTCTCTCCTGCCCGGGCTGGCTTTGAACCGCGATCCTCAGATCTCAGCCTCCTGAGTAGCTAGGATTACAGGCGTGAGCCACCAGCACCCGTCTCTCACATTATTTTTATAATATGTTCAATGTTAAATTTGGATGGATACCTATCTATTCAAATACTATTGTTTTGTTTTGCTTTGCTTTGTTTTTAAATCATGGGTCTTGAACTCTGGGCCTGGGTGCTGTCCCTCAGCCCTTCAGCTCAGGCTAGCACTCTACCATTTAAGCCACGGCACCACTTCCGGTTTTCTGAGTGGTTTGTTAGAGATAAGTGTCTTACAGACTTTCCTGCCTAGGCTGGCTTTGAACTGCAGTCCTCAGATTTCAGCATCCTGAGTAGCTAGGATTACAGGCCTGAGCCACCAGTGCTCAGCTATACTATTGTATTTTTAAGTGTATTATTGATATGTTCCATTTTCAACCCTAAAGATCATTTACCAGTTTTCAAATAACACCATACCGCTACTCATTCTTTTCTAATGTAAACTCAAAATCTTGTTATTCTGCTCTTACAATGTGTATGTGAAGTTTAAAATTTCAATATTCATCTTAGAATACAATGGCAAAAGTAACCCCCCCTCACGGAAGCTGATGAAAATGTTCACACAGGAAAGAAAAGTGCACTGGAAACTATTTTCCCCTTCCCCATTGCCAATGGTTTATATGTCTCAACTTTAGAATACATTAACTTAGAAATATTCTATCACAATAATGTTAATGTGAATTGAAACAGAGATGTGTTATTTGTACTATAGTAGCATTTAAATTTCAGACTTTCAAGGGTTTATGACATATCAGCAGTCTTTTAGAGCAGACTATACATTTGGACAATTTTTACAGGAACCAATGAAAGATGGTGTTCACAAAAACATTTTTTGTCCATTTTTTAAAGAAATTGTATCTTACACTTAAGTAAATCTTGGAAGATGTTTGTAAGAAAAAATATAAAGTTTTAGGCATAAAGATGGTCTTGTGGTTTTAACCTTGTTAGTATGAATTTGGAAATAATGTAAATAGGAAAAGTAAAATACTATGACTCAAATTATACAGAAGAATATAATACAAACATTGTGTTTAGACATTCAAAATATATATAATACTGTCAATACTTTTTGGAAGATCAGTACATATTTTTCCCTCTTCCTTAGATGTTTATGCATTACAAAATAACTTCATTAAATGTATTAGGAAATTTAAAATGTGAGAAAATATTAAAGTAAGCAATTTTATTAATGTTGCTATGAAGTCAAAATTTGAGTAATTATTAATAGAGCCATGGATTACGAAAAACTGAAGAGCCCAGCACTGGTAGCTCACACCTGTAATCCTAACTACTCAGGAAACTGAGCTTGGAGGATTGCAGTTTGGGGCATGTGTGAGAGGGGGAACAAAAGCTGGATGTCAAGATGTGGCTCAAGTAGTAGAGCTCTAGCCTTGTAAAAAAAATATTCAGGTACAGTGCCCACCCCTGAGTTCAAGACCCAGGACTAGCACAGATGTGCGCGCGCGCGCACACACACACACACACACACCCCAAAAGAACTGAATATGAAATGAGAGAACTGTAGTTAAAATTAAGTTCCACACTAATTGTTAGCATACAAGACTCCAACATGCGGTGTCACTATACCAAAGGATTGCTCACCTCCTTTACTGTGCTTCTTGTTGACCTTGGGCCCTAGAAAAAGGGTCAGTGAATCCACGTAAAACACAATTGCTCATTCCCAAGTCCTCTTTACACTTTAAAGCTCAGTCCTCATTTCTTTTTATATGTGTGAGCTCAGAACATAAGACAGAATAGTTCAGGCAGGTATTCTAAAGTTCTGTGCATCAAAAATGGACAATAGAATAGTCTTCATTCACTATTTCATGATTGCAGTGCTTCAAGTTCTTTTATCCAGGGCCTAAGGCTACTGGATAGACATGAATAGTTGGGTTTTGTTTGTTTGTTTGTTTTAGGAGAGAGTATTACCATTTTACTGCACTAGATATTTCCATGTAAACATTTTATATTGTGAAGTTAAATATAGTCTGGCTGATAGTTAAAATTGCAGTTAAACATTTGAAAATTTCAATTATACTTTATCACAAAACCCATCTTGTTTAAAGGCGTAAAGTGACTTCAAACAAATTCCTCATCTGTTTAAATTTATCTCTCTAAGCACTTTCCCAATCATAATCACAGAAATCTTCATTTTCTGGTTATAGAGAAGAAAAAAAATATATATAGAGAGAGAGGGAGGTAGATAGCTAGCTAGCTAGCTAGCTAGATAACCTGTGTCACTTGTACTAACAATCTCTGCTCGGTCTTTTTGTTTGCATGAGAACATTATTCATTCCCTTATAGGATTTCTTTTTAACCCTTTCAGGGTAAGTTAACATTAATAGTTGATGGTAATGTTGTCACCAAAATGTCAACAATATACCAGATACACTGACATCTTCTTTTTAACATTGAGAAAGATGTCAGCCTGGAAATATATTTTGAAATCCCAGCCAGAAGTTTACTTAGAATTTACTTTTTATAATACATACTTTCAAGTTTGCCTCAAGAATAAAATGCCAAGAATGTTAAAAATAGTCAAAGTATTCTTCCTTGTTGCTTTCCAAAAAGTCTATGAGTAATAATTGACTTAAATATTTGGATATGAATCAGCCAAATTCTTACTTTGTAGACAATTAAAAGAGCAGCTAAGTCACTACCAGCTTTCCTATAGTTTTCTCCATTAACCAACGAAACATAATCAATATGCATCTGTTATTATTTTTATATTCCTAATTTTGAGTCATTATTTTCTTCTACTAATTTGTCTTAATCTCAAATAAAAATGTTTCTTCATGAATATTAAAGTTCTTTATGATTTTCATGTTCATTAATTCATACATTACTAAATCAATAACTATAATAATTAATAATAATGAATAATTATTAAACCAATAATTAGTAATTTTGTTCTGCAAGTAAGGCTTAGCAGGGATAGAAAAATACAAAAACAAATGAGCAAGCATCTTTCAATGGCAAATGCATAGTGTGAAGAGAGCAGTTTGTAGTGCCTTACATAGTAAGTTCACTTAAAGAAAAGTCAGAGTAGTCTAGTTGCTGAGAGTCTGGGGAGGTTGAGAATTTCTTTTTGAAGGGAACAATCAAAAGGTGACATAAAAAATGAATCTGTCTTTTTTCTTGAAGGGGTGGTGATGAAAGTAGTACTAAGATTTGGATTCAGGTCCTTACACTTTCAACACAGTATTCTACTGCTTAAACCACATCCCCAACCCTTTTTGGTTGGAGTTAAAAATCACAGTTCAGCAGTAAAACCCACTAGACACCATGTTGGAAATGAACAATACAACTGTGGAGAAAGGAGTCAGGAGGGGAAAAACTGGAACAGAATGAGGGAGGGGGTGACATTATTCAAAAAGAAATGTACTCATTACCTGAATCACCTATATTCATTACCTGTATATCACCTTTACAATACAATTTAAATTTAAAAAAAAATCTCTGCTTTTGCTAGGACTAGACTACGATCCTCTTTTCATGCCTCTCATGTTAACTGGGAAGACTAGTACA